AGTCGCTAAATTAAATTGTGAACTTCGACCTTTCTTTTAAGCCCCAACCTCTAATTCACTCCCTCCCCCACCCCTTTTACACCGTTTGGCAAAAATTAAAATTAATCTCAGTCAAAGTCACCGATCAATTTTAACCTTCATGAGACCCATAACTTTTCAAACACATATCTCATCAACTTTCATCAAAATCTACTAAAAATATGAATTTAATCCCACCAAACAGGGGGCTTAGCTTATTTTCTCATGCACATCTGTATAAAAACATAATCAACTTATTAAAACTAATCTCCTTATCAGAAATTAAAAGTTGATTAATGAGAAGGTCATTTTTACACTGGGCATTTCTTCTCCTGCCCACTAAGGCAAGAGAGAAGTTGGTTGGTCACATTGGGATGTTAGGATTAAATGTCAAAGATGCTAACCACGATCGTCCACAAATTTACGGAAGTAAATGGATGAATCAGAAATTTGTATGCATGGATAAAGAATATACCATGTGGTCAACATGCTAGATCTGCAATGATATGTTAATAACATTTATCGCATGGTTGTAGATGAATGTGGATAAAGTAATCATGATTGCTCATAGAGATTACCAATTGTTAGAGAGACATGTAGCACATGGTTGAATTGAAATATTGTGTTTTCGAAGAACTTAATATTTGTACCTCTTTTGAAAGTTATGCGTCGGTGTGCCGAATCCGTTTGCTACTTGTTGTCCTTTCTCCGGAACACAGTGTTCTATTTTCACCCACATGAATCAATAGATGCACGTAGCTCATAGATAGTAGATTTGGTAGGCTAAACCGAACACAATTTACGAGAACAATTTAAAGGAATAGATGCGAGTTGTGTGTTGGTTGTCGAGTTCAGCACGCCAAAACTTTTCTCAAAGGCCATACGGAATCCGAATTTTGCAACAATTGACACAGCGACGGAAAAAATGCAGAAAAGGAAAAGGAGGCCGCACACAGAGAGGAAAGTCGGGCAATTCCCCGTACCATCTCCCCTCGAAACAAAAAATAATTTTTATTACGATCTCTTGACCTGCCATGCGAGCGCACCCGCCATGGCAAAGGTCCGTAAGACAACCATAACAATCACAAGCCACACTCAACACATCTCTCTGCAACCTCTCATCAATATGCCCATATTTACCATACCTTCCGACAACATCAATACAGCACAATAAATCAAACATGCCACATATGATATCATTAGAACCCTGTGCAGGCGTTCAACTCGGCTGAATTCAATTCTCGGTCACTTGATGATTCAGAAGAATAATTTCCAGCCGGATCCCATTATAAAAATGATAGTCATCTACCGAGGATTCACGGTACAAACCTGTAAATAATGAACAATGAAAAATGATTGCACAACTCAGAAACTAGCTCAATAGAGCTGAAAAAATTATAAACATTATTTAATGAAATAAAATATAAAGAAAACACCATTACCAAACAAGAAAATATCTACAAATCCGTTTATTACCATTATGACATAAATAAAATTACTAATAATCAACATATCTAGAACAGAACGAAACTCTTCGCATAATTGGCTTAAGTTATCTCTAAGAAGAAGCAAAAACCTTTGCTTTAATTTACTCTCAATAAAAGCAAGAAAGAAGCAAGTTTTCTCTGCTTCGTTCACAGAAATAAGCTGACCCAAACATGACCTAATTCAGATATCAAACAATTATTGTCAGACGTTAAATTACCTTCACCAAATCCAATCTGAATTCATGTATCTGAAGCTGTGCATGAAGAATCTCCATTGACCAAAAAGCTCAACAAACATATCCAAATCCATAATCAAATTATAGATCGTTTCACGATCTACAAGATTCAGAAAACAGATATAGATCAAGAGAAGCGATGTAGAGCAGATCTGAGAAAAACCCAAAGCAGAAATTGGATGAATCGAAACAGAAATATGTATGATAAATTGACAAAATAATTAGGTTTATTTATTGAGGGCTGGCAAGGGATCCAACGGTTGACATTGATTGGCAATAAGGTATTTGACGGTGGGATTGATGGCGTGGAATTCGCGGGGTTGAGCGAGAAAATAGGTTCAGGGAAATGATTGGACGGCTTGGATTGGATTATATTGGTGGGAAGGTTCTGGACTGGTTGCTAAGATCATGCCACGTGTTTGGACATGATTCTTACGCTAAAATTATACTTTTCTTATTCAACTCTCAAGTCTTTTAATTTTTGTTTATGATTCATTCCCATTTCAATTTTCGTTTTTCAAAATAATTTTCATATTTAGTCCTCAATCATTATTATAGTAGAAAATTAGTCCTTGAAAATTATAAAATCCTTTTGAGTTGGTAGAACTTTAAATAGATTAATTTCATGTCCATTTTTCTCAAAATGCAATAATTTTTGTAGTAAGTTGGCCGTTATCATTTATATAAGAATGAGCTAATCCATAAATTTTCATTATAATTACACAATAAGTAAATGATAAGCGTCGTGCAAATAAACTAATCTACCTTTTGAGATTGGACAAAACAGTCATAAATATAAATTTACCCATATTTAGTTTAACTAAACAAGTTGATAAAATTTTTAATTGAATTATATTTTCATGGGGTCTAAGCAACTATTAAACGAAGATTTTATAACATTTCATAATTACAAATCGATCGCACTAAACTAAAGATTAAGAATTAGTTTGCCCATGTTTAAAGGTTAGAGTAACATGTTACTTGAGTAATATATTAGGGATGGATGGTGAAAGTTGCCCTAGTTCCAACGTCATTCTCATGCAATATGATATTTTTCTTATTTAATTTAAATCATCTTCAAAAGATTTTCTAAACACGAGATACTTTCTATTTTAAAAAGCTGACATTTAGGATTATCTTCCAAAAGACTCTTTAAATTATCATTTTAATTTATAGAGTTGGTTTTGCTCTCCAAATTTGAATAGCCGAACTCATTCTTTATAATTAAATATATGTAAGAAAATAATAAAATAATTTAAAGAAACACTAGTTAAAATTAAAGATAGAAAATAATATATATATTTTTTAAAATAATAAAATGAAGTGTTAAATATGAAGAGTTTGTTAAAGCATTTTAAATAATAGAATATACTCTTTAAAAATAAAGAATCTCTTTATCCTGTTGTTTAATTCAAGTCATTTCAACTTGACTTTTGCTAGAACAATTTGCATCTTTAGTCCTTGATCGTTATTCAAGTTGCAAACTCAGTTTCTATAATTAAATGTAAATATATTTAAATGCTTCAATTTTCAACGTGGGAGAATACTAAAATAATCTATAGAAAAACTAATTAAAATAAAATATAGAAAAAATAATAAATATCTTTTAGAGTAGTAAAATGAAGTATTGAATATAAAGAGTTTATTGAAGTATTTCAAAATTTTAACTCTCGAAATTCATAAACGATCTCCGAATGATAAAATATATTCTTTAAAAATAGAGATGTCTTGGAGATTCTCTTAATCCAGTTGTTTAATTGGAGTCATTTCAAGTTAACTTTGCTAGAACAATTTACATCTTTATTCCTCAATCATTATTCAACTTGCAAAATAATAATAATAATTATCTGTAAAACATCAAGTTGATCTTCAAATTTTATTTTATTCTTATAATTACACAATAAGTGGTTGTTTTATAAATCATGTTAAACGTTTAGGGTTAAATCTACAAATGGTCACCCAACTTTATACTTATTATCACAAAGGCCATCTAATTACACCAAACTTTATACTAAGTGTTACCATGTCCACTCAGTTTGATTTCTTATCACCATGTCCACCTAATTTTATATAATGTTTCATCATAACCACCCAATTTTTTTTCATCTTTTCACTGTTTTTAAAAAACGGTAAAATGTTAATTTTGCATTTTATATATAAAATAAATTTAAAAAATAAAAGTTTTTATTTTATTTTAAAAACCTTTTTTCAAAATAAGGTTTTTTTTAAATTTTATTTTTTAAGAAACCTTTTTTAAATAACTTTTTATTTTATTTTATTTTTCTAAGTAACTTTTTTTTCAAAATTTTTTATTTATTTTATTTTTAAAATAAGTTTTTATTTTTATTTTATTCTTTTGACTAACTTTTTTTAAAATAAGTTTTATTTTATTTTTTAAGTTACGTTTTTTTAAATAAGTTTTTATTTTATTTTTTTTTAAATTTATATTATGTATATAATACAAAGTTAGCATTTTATCCTTTCTAAAATGAATTATTCTTAAGTGTGAGAGTGGCGTTTGTCTTCTAAAATTAGTGAAAATGGTAAAAGAAGTTGGATGGTCACGATAAAACACTATATGAACTTTGATAGTCACGGTGAAATGTTGTATTGGGTGATCATGATAAAATAAAACCAAATTTAGTTGTCATTGTGACACTAATTATAAAGTGGGGTGATCATGATGAAATAAAATCAAATTGCATACTTATAGTTACACTAAGTATAAAGTTGGATGGTCATTGGTGAATTTAACCATAAAAGTTTATCAACTTCTCAACTTATCAATTTGTAATATTAACCGCACATTTCGAAAGGCTTATAACTTT